ATTCAGTGGTTTGCATTCAGAGATATCCAAATATTTTTTACAAATTTTCATAAGCTTAAAATGACTCATTACAATTAGGGGATAAATAATTTTATACTCATTTTAAAGCCCATTTTATAACTGCATGGCTGAAACCCAAAGAATTTAAATGACTTCTACATCACAAAGTTTTAATTCTTGATTTAGAAGCTGTAGGAACATACGCCAAATTTGTATATCACTAAATGCTGTATTATAAAATGTATTAGCAGGAAGTTGCCCAACTGGACGATTTCCAGATTTTCTTTCTTATTTAACAGTAGGATATTTGCACATTTCCCTTTGGTCCTAGTTCTAAATGTAGTTCTGGTTCAGTAAGGTCCTTTTCTGTTTGTTTTGTTTTGTTTTGTTTTACAACCTTTATATCGGTACCAGGAGAATAAGAGAGTAACACCCATTCTTTATTCCTAAATTAAAGGGGCAGGAATAGAATAAAAAATTTCTACATCACACTCATTAAGCAAATAATTAATTCTAACAAAGGGCCAAATCCTATGTTATCCTAAATACACAAATATATATTTAAAACATACACCTCATTTGTACAAGGACTTTGTCATACCATAGCCATATTTTCAAAGTGCATATAATACAGAAAGTCCTTGGATACGTAGTTAAAAGATTATGTTGCTGATGGTATAACTACACTTTTTTTCCCCCAAACATTGTGTTATAAAAAAAATGCAGTCTGCCGAATGTAACATATTAACAATATGTGAAGCTTGCCTTCTCAGATAATATAGCTTTTTAAGTACATCTTTCATTGTTCTACTCCTTGCTTCACAGAGTTTAACATTCCTTTTCTTGAAATTGCCAGTCACTAACTAATGCACATAAAATTGGTTGTCATGATCCTAATAGTTGCCTAAATTATTTTAAGAAGCACCTAAAGTCTTTCTTTGGACTATTTGTAATCTTAATCTTGCCACTTTCCTGCCCAGTGTTTTATTTACTTATATAAAGACACAGACTGTCCATAAGCTCCCGTGTTGTCCTGAGGCTCTACTCTCTAACCTTTTCTTTTTGTTTTTTTTTTTTTTTTTAATCTTATGCTTGTAAATACTTTCAGCTCTTTGACCCAAAATGCCACTCTCTCTCATGCTTTTCATATTACCCCATAGTTCCCTGTTCAATAGTCCATATATAATTTATTTTTCACGATATTGATAATAGTTGAGGATGATGATCTGATGCACCTGGAAGTTTCAACCACATAAAATATGAATCTTCTCTTTGAAACATTCAGCTTCAAAATAGTTCATAGCAAATTTGTGAACTTGATCCTAAATAAGAATTATACATAGTACTTAGATTTCAAACTCCTAAAATGTACTATGGTTACTTGTTCCTGCACTCAACTGAAAGGTAAATTGAGAAATGATTTCACTCGTAAAGGCTGGTCATTCTTGCATCAGTGCAAAAATTCTGACCACTAGAGTAAGGAGCTAGGGATGTCTCAAAGGAGCTCAAAGTGATGAAATTTTAAAGGTGAGAGATTTAGAAACTATCCAGCCCATCTTCACATTTTACAGATGCATACACTAAGACCCAAAAATTCTTCCTAGTCCATAGGGAAGAGCTAGAACTTGAGATGTTACACCCAGCTAATAACACTCTCCACATGGTTTACTTATGAAAAAACCAAAATTAGTAAAGATACTGACACATGTAAATTTCTACCAGAAAAAGAAAAAGAGGAAACCAGTTGATGTGTTAAAGAAATACTCACAATCCACAAAATATTGTTCATTTGATCCGTATGCCTTAGGCCTCTGACACTCAACTTTCTCATCTTTATCCAAAATCTCAAATATCCTTAAATTTTATTCAAGCATCCCTTGAGCCACCAAACTTCTTGAATTCAAATTTTCTCTTCAATATGCATGACAATGCTACCCTCAGATTTCAAAAGCTAGAACACTAGTATATTTATTCTTCACAAAAGTGTTAGTGGCTCCCAGTTATCTTTTAGTTTACTTATAAAAGTCCATATATTCTGCTCCTTTACTTTGATTCTTTACACTGCTATGAGGATCTTTTGGATATGCTTTTCTTTCTCTAAAAGAATGCTTTTAAACCATTAATTATTTCTAAACTCTTTATAGGTCAAATTGGATCCATTTTATTTTTCCAGTAATGTTAATTTTTTAGAGGCGAATATACAACCATATTTATATCCCATAATCCTTAGGGCTCTAAAAACAATAGCTCTTCCTTCTATTTTCTATATTCTAACTATGTTTAGGGCTGGAGGGAAATACAAGTTCTTTCCTGAGAAATGGCATTCAGTGTTATCTTTGGTTTTCTACTCCTAGGCGTTGTATGATTAATGGTACTTGGACTATTACATAAACGTTTTCTTCACATCCTGATGATATTATGGGAGAGATGATGATCTGAATCTGACATTGTACATTTAGTTATCACTCATTCAAAGATGAATTAATAAATGAATCAGAAATTGAATAGTTTGATCATCACTTCATTCCTTTCTCTACTAAAGGGTATATATTATCTAATGAATCTTCAACATAGATCTCTTGTAGTGAAGGTGAAAAAGAAGAAATAAGAACGTTAATTTTATGGGACATACATATTCCTGTAAACTGTTTTCCAACATATGACGAAACTCAACAGCAAATAAGGAGGGGGAGCATGAAACAAAGAGACATCAGGAAAAGAGCAAAAATAAAGTCTTTGGACTTTGTAAATTATTGCCCAACAAATCTGGCCCAGGTAAATAACCCAAAGAAATAATAGAAGGCAAACAAGTAAGACCTTAACTCTGGAATCAGAATAAAAATGTTTTAGAACTTTGTCAAGCAGCCTATAGTAGCTGTGAATGAAAAAGCATAGCATAAATAAAGCATTATTTTTTTTAATATTATGTTCTCAGGTGAAGGGTATTTCTCATTTTCAAAGTTTGTGTTTCTTTTTCATTACAATGTTCTTTTATTAGATAAGTATAAAGTTGTTTAAAATGACAACTCAACAGCTCCTATATGAAAGTTCTACAACCACTTCCCAAACAAACTATCCTCTTGGCATACTGATCCTAATTAATATAAAAAACTAAATAAAAGCAGAAACAAAAACAAAAAACAAAAAACAAACAAATCCAAAATCAGTAATAAAGTAAATCGTTTACTACATTTTAAAATAAATTTTGATTAAAAATGTATCAACCAAACACCATTTGGGCCTGTCTTTTTTGTCTTTTTTTACTACTAGATTAAAAAAAAATATATATACACACACACACACACACACACACACAC